GCGGCTCCCCGCCTCCGCCGTAGAATGCCGCGCATGCGCTCTGGAGACCGCTAGGGCCTCGTGGTGAGGAGTGAGTAGAAAGGAGACTCCAACGCCCAGCATCCCTTGCGCACAAAGCGGCCCGGACTGCTCATACATAGGACCCATGCATGCTGGGAATCCTAGGTTCAACGAACCACGGGGGCCTGCTAGGGTCAATGGAACGCATGGCATGCTGGGGCCTGTAGTCTCTGTAGACCACCACCCATTTTCTCTTTGTAGTTGGGGCACTGGTGGGCTGGAAGCTGCCCAACCCCCATCTGCTCCCAAGGGCTGACCCACTGGACACCCTCACACTGGGACCTGCCTCTCCCCCCTGCCACTGCATGAACTAGGTCTCTCTCCCTAACCAGGGTACACCCCATGAGACAGGACCTGCCCGCCAGACAGCCCCCCCCTACACACACCAGGCCACCGTGTACCTGGAAACCACCTCAACGCCTCTTCCGCCTCTCCCCCATCGCTTCCTCTTCCCATCCACCCGCAACGCTCTGCCCTCCCAGGCTTTGCCTTCTTCCTCCCCCGCGTCACAGCTTCTACACGCAACAGCAGGCGTCGTTCCTAACATCTTATTGTGTGGGGTGCTTGTGCAAACTCCATTTTGAAAACTATGGACTCCATCTTGAAAGACTCATAGCAGAGAGATAAACAGGAACTGGAATGGGCTGGTTTTCCCCACCAAACGGGTTCTTTGTCACAATTTACCTCAGGAGCTGTGTGCACAGCTGGACCCGTCAATCATATTTTCCCGCCAATAGAGACTTATAAGGAAAGCCCGTCCTATGGGACAGTGAAGCTGGTGCTGCCACTGTGACTGCTGCTGCAGCGAGGAGAGCCAGCCACAGATGTGAACTCTCCCTCCAGTTCTCTGAACCATCAGGAGCGGATCCTCAGCATCCGTGGTAAAGGCCCAGGCTCTATGAGGAGGAGAAACACCCCGTAATCCTGACAAGAAGATCCTGATCCCTCCCATCCGGATCATCCTCCACGGGCTCTCCCTAGTGCTCCTCCCGAAGGGCTCTCCATCAGCCCAGAGGTTGAGGTCCTAGGCACCAACCAGCTTCAGCCGCCAGGACGCTTGTGTAAATTAAACTCCCTTTTTGCCCGGGCTCTGTTCTATCTTCTTTCCTTCTCGTTTAAGGGGGTGGCCTGTTTGGGGACCTTACACTAAATTGTTATCATCATTGTTGAGGATTTATATGTGCCTTTATGTGATATGCTGTGTCGTTTCTCTATTGTGTAATAGATTTGTTTAAACTTGATTGGGAGTCTGTCTTCGTGTGGGTAAAATTGGCCGGTGATAGTTACGGTATTGATTGGGAACTTGCATTTGTTGTACAGGGACGCTGAAATTTAGCCCTGTCTTTTAATTGTATTTGTTTACGTAACAAATTAGCAACCGCGGCAGGACCCAATCAGAATTTTATTGATTGGTTCAGGCTGGGCCTAGTCAAAATTTATATTGATTCGGTCAAGCACAGCATATACCATTGTTTTATTTTGACTAGTATAAGGACATACGGTCCCACGACCCGGGGAGGGTTCCCTTCCCTTTGTCCCCCCATTTACTATTTACCCTTAAGTACCCTTCTGGGACGGGTAGTTCCCGGATCACTCGGTCACACCAGGAGCCCCCCTGGAGGGACGGACCGAAAAGAAATCCATTAGCGGGTTGTGGTAGTGAGTGTGGGGATGCCCCGACGCTGCCACAGAGCTCCGGTAACAGGCGGTGCACCCCCGCACCCAGTCTGTTAGTGCCTTGGCACGGGGAAAAGCACTTCCCTTTCCGGCATTAGGCTGAGCGGCATCCGGGCCCTGAGGTGGTTCTGCAGAACGCTGTACTCACGGCCTGAACCATTGTCTGCCTGGAACCCAGCTGGTTCCTGAACTTTTGATTTTCAAGGCCACTAAGGACTGGAAGGCAGGCTTTGCTGCTGCAGGCCTAGCCTTCTTTGAAAGAGGCCCCTTAACCCTTTTTTAGTTTGGTTGTGGTAAGCAACCTACAGAGGCGTCATCATGGCTGACAAGATATTTAGCCTCCATGGATGGACCTCCTGTACCAATAAAAATTCTGTGGAATTCAGTGTTAATTTATTTGGGAAGGGGAAAAATCCGTGGATGTCAGAGTCACTGAGCGGAGAGGACTCCTTAAACAAATTTAGTGAGCTATGGGCACGGTATGTAAAGACCAAGCCAGCCCAGACTAAAAAGACCAAGAAAAGAGCCTTAATCTTCGGCTTGGCAATGGTCAGCCAAGAGCTCTCCTCTTGTGTGGGCCAATTAAAATCTCAACTGTCATCTGCCCTAGAGGAGAAGCATAAGCTGGAAGTACATCTCCAGCAATTGACTGCAGAGAGTAAAAACAGCTCTGCACTGATAGCCGGCCTCACCATACAGGTTAAGCAATTAGAACAGCAATTGAGAGAGCTGCATTTACAGGCAGCTGAGGCTCAGCAAAATGCTACTCTAAAAGAGAGACAGTCAGAAGAGTCCAGAGCTGCAGTTAGGCAGCTTCTGAAGGAAGCAAGCATACCAAAGACAGAGGCTGATCATACAACATGTCACAAACAAATAAATCAGTTAAAACAACAGTTGTCAGTGGTTAAAGGCATAGTGGCTGCTGTACATTCAGATACTGTGATTGATGGAATGTGTTTTAGTAATGATTGTATGGGCATAAAGAACTCCATAGAGCCATCCACCCCTAGTTATAATCCAGGAGGGGTGGAAGGTGAAAACCTCATGGCACTCATTGTCACTACTGTGACCTCTAATGGAGGGGTTCATCCTCCAGTGGTAAAACAGGAGGGTAAGACCTTGACTCCTGAACAAGCCAGAGCCATGTGTAAACAACTGGGAATATGCAATAAGGATACAGTACTGAATTGGATGGCTAGGCTATGTGTAACTCCAAATGTGGGTCAAGAGGATGTGATTCTGCTTCTCGTGGAGTGCATGTCTGGGGAAGACTTTAATGCTCTACCCTATCATGTGGTTTATGATCTGCAAACCAGCCGGATAGAATTATACAAATGTGTGTTCAGGTTATTTTTCCCACATGATAATGTCATGGGTAAGATGTATGCCGAAAGGCAGAGAGAGGGGGAAAGGCCAGAAACCTATTTTATGAGAAAGAAATTGTTATTTTGGTTGTCTGGCCTGGGTGAGCAGAGAGAGGGTGCAATATCCTATGACACTCCTGAGTTGAGAGATTTATATTTTCAGGGGTTATCACCCAGTATGAAGTTAGCCATTGGACCCATAGATGTCAGGAATGTCTCATTATCTAGGCTAGAGGCTAGAGTGAGAGAAGTATATGAGTTACAGCAACTAACATATCCTAAGGTGAGCCAGAAGAAAAAAAAAAGCTGCTTTTAACCTAGACAACAGAAATAGATGGAAAGAGACCAAGGAAAAAGAGTCATCTAATTTCAGGCCTAGTGAGCGAATGTTTGCAGGAAAGTTTGATGATATCAGAGCCACCAGAAGAGTATTAATCCGAAGACTCTCAAAGTATGAGCCATGGGAGCAGATA